CCGATCCGTTCTATATTGGGAGACTCCCATTTTAGCTTCGATGTAAGTCAGTGAATTTGGCGGTCACTTCCCGTGTGTATTATGATTTCTTCGTCTTCTGCCGCTTGCTTCTTCTGCTTTTGTTCTGCGTCGTGTCATGCTTGTTGATGAACCGTGTCCGTGCCGACTTTCTCGTTCTTCGTTATTTCTCTCTCAAAATTCGCATCGTTTTCTGCGTGATCCCTGATAATGGCAGGTTCAAGCTCTTTTGAGCCCTGCGAACGCGTCGACGGGTCTGACATATCCGAATTGTTTGGTTATACATGCTGATCTAGTTGCAGTCCCCAAGCCTGGCAGGGATATCGCCAGGAGGGCGATCAAGGCCGCGTAGCGGGCCAAGAAGGGCATAATAGTGAGTTTCTATCGAATTCAGGCTTGAATTCAAGTACTAATCACTGTATAGGCCCAAAAGATAGTCTGTTCGAGGACGGGAACAACCGTCGGCAGCAGGGCCTCCTGCATAAGAAAAGCGCGAGTGACGAGCCGGGCTACCGATCTCACCAGCGCTCAGGAAGCAGCAGGCGAGAACGACTGCCATTTTTCGGCAGGAAGGCCGACAGATGCAACGAACAGAAGAAGAGTTTTCCGGGGAAATCGCCCACCTCGAAATCACCGGGCGAACTATCTCCAGTTGAAGCACGTGCCACCAAGGCGAACGACTCTCTGCGGAGAAGGCGACTCTTCCGTTCGGACACATACCCTTTTGGTCGCAACGCGCAGAGACACTCCCCGCGTACCGGAGGCTCTGATTCCAAGATCGGCTCGGCTCTTCAGAACCTCTTCTGGCCAGGACGGTCCAAAGAAGAAGGGGAAAGACCACCAGCAAGATTGACTCTTGCTGACCCGTTTTTGATCAGTGTGCCTCCTCTTACTATTGCTCCCTTGTCCACACACTTTCCCAACCTCCAGGAACATCGTCGGGCTCAAGTCTTACCGTTTGCTCAAGGTGTTTGTGGAGCCCCCACAGGCTGCTGGGATCCTTTTTCCCCCCTCTCGCCGCCGTTGATCCACACTCCACCTTCATTTCTTCCTGTGAATTTCAACTCCCCTGGAACCCCTTTCGATCCCATCACACCTGTTTCTCCTACTGAGTGTTTCCCAGCAATTGATTGTGAGTCTCCAGGTTACCAACCCACCCTCCCCTTTGTACCCTTGGATCCTGGCAAGTGTCTGAGTCCCGAGACCTTCAACCGGCCCCGTCAGCCTTCTCTCTGTCAACAACCAGTTGATTCCCCCCTTGGCTTACAAGATCATCCGCTACCCTCACAGCATCCCGAATCCGCCATGGATCCCTCACGTGGATCGCGCTTTCTGGACCCGGCGGTGGCTGCCCTCTCCAAGCACAAGGCGGAAGCCATAAAGCTTGCTCGTGAACAGGGTGTTGCTGTCCGGGAGATGTGCCGCAGAGCCAAAACAAATACACCTCCTTATGAATTCGAAGAGTTGATCGGTAAGGGCTCGTACGGACGCGTGTACAAAGGCCACCAGCTCCCCTCCAGTAAGGTCGTTGCCATCAAGGTGATGGATATTGACTCTGTGGACTATCAAACTGTTCGTGACTTCAGAGATGAGTCAATCAAGGACTTTATCCACGAGATTACAGTGATGAAGCAGGTCAAGGATGCGGGTGCGAAGAATATCAACGAAATAATCGAGGCAATCTCTATCCACTCACAACTGTGGCTGGTCTGTGAATACTGCCCTGGTGGTAGTGTTAGAACCTTGGTACGTGCCCCCCCTATTGCCATCCTCGCCCTTTGCATGTAAGTTTTCTATCAGTGTGCTAATGCCGTTCTACCGCAGATGCGAGCGACCGGCGACCGGCTTGAGGAGAAGTTTATCATTCCTATCGCTCGAGAGCTTGCTGCTGGGTTGCGCGCCATCCATGATGCGGGCGTCATCCACAGAGATATCAAAGGTATACGGTTGCCTTTCTATATACTGGGCCTGCGGCTGACCGTCTAAAGCTGCCAATATCTTGATCCACGAGGAGGGAAGACTACAAATCTGTGACTTTGGTGTCGCCGGAGTGCTTCAATCTCAGATGGACAAACGGTCCACTTGGATTGGAACACCACACTGGATGCCACCCGAGATGTTTGCGACTCGCGGTGAAGCTCACAAGTACGGTAGTGAGGTGAGCTCTACGCCTCTAAGGAAACTTCCCCATACTGACTGCTATAGATTGATGTTTGGGCCTATGGCTGTACCTTGTTTGAATTTGCCACGGGCAATCCCCCGAACTCGAACCTTCGCGAACGTATACAAATCGGCAGACAGATCACTCGCAACACTCCGAAGTTGGACACTGACAAATATAGCGACGGCCTTAAGAGCATCGTTTCATTTGCCCTAGAATCCAACCCGGTCACCCGGCCTGGGATGGCAGATATATTGACACATCCCTACGTTGCTGATACTGAGGATGCATATCCTACCGCGTCCCTCAGCGAGCTCGTCCGCATCTACTATCAATGGTCACAGCGTGGTGGTCAGCGTATATCTCTCTTTCACCCCGGAGGTGCTGCTGCTGCAGAACTCCCAGGCGCTGAAGCCGAATACGAAGAGGACTGGAAGTTCAGTACGACGGATGGTTTTGAGCGTCGCTTCTCAGTTATTGATCTTGACCAGCTGGCCGCCTCTTTGGCGGAGATGGAAGATCAGATCAGCCCAACCACTGTGCCTAGCTCGGATCATGAATCTTCTGAAGACGGATCGGAGAAGGTCATGACGCCGGAGGAAAAAGCAAACTTTGACGAGCGTGTGCGTCGGGGAGCTGCGGCGATGGAGGGTCTCTTCGACGAAGACAAGCCAAGCTACACGTATGAGACCAAGAATGATTTCGTCCCAATCGAGCCAAAAGCCCCTGCGTCGGATCTTCCGCTTCGCACCGATACCGATCGATCGTCAGTCACCTCAACTTTTATTGATATTGACATCGGCTCCTTTGATTCCTCACACTATGCTGCCGGAGCAACCTCAGCCCAGCCATTCCAACTTGCCGATGCGGATACTATTCGAGCGAACCGGACGAGTGGACGTCAACATCGGAACTCTGTTGAAGGCCGTTCGCGTTCATCCAGCAGCGGTGTTAGCAGCAACCGGGGCTCCGGAGACATGACATTTCAGCCCCAAACTGGGCCTCGTCCTCCTACAATGGACTGGAAGTTTCCTGTGTTCATGCAACCTCCGACGGAGGAGGCTGAGCCAGCCAGCCCACCAGAACCAGAGACAAAGCCGGCTGAGCCTGACACATCTGATAAACGAGCGACTATGGAATGGACCTTTCCCGTTATGACCGCTCCAGCAGATGATGGGGGCGCAAGCAGCGACAGCTTTGTGGATACCAGTCAGTACGATACTCTGAAGGCACCAATTGTAGAGAGCCAGCCTTCAACCACAGTCCGGCGCTCGAGTATCGGGGAGCCCGGGGACTCCCGGCCATCTACGTCTAGATCGGGCGAGTCCAATGGATCCGAGACTGACTATGACCCCTTCCGCTTTGATCGACCTTCCACACCACCCACCCAGGCGCCCGCGGACCCAAAAAGTCCTGAGTATCCCCAGTTGCTGAATACGTTGGAGTACCCTAACTACGACCAGTCCGGCATGATGGATGGCCCTGGTCCAGATGAAGAAGAGGAGACAGATGACGTGTGGCAGAAGCCTTCTGAGGATACGGACGACCCTTCTTTGTCTGAACCGTTCCCGACAGCGATCCCCACCAAAAGCATCGACCTCAGCCTTCCCTTCGTCCCGTCAGCCAATTCCTCCGTATCGGACTCCTTGCCTACGGCTCGAACCAATTTTCCTTCGCTCACCACTAATGACGGGGAGCCGATTCTGTTCCCCGAGCTCCCTCTGCCTCAGCTTGAGCTCTTCATGGCTGGTGCGAACGACCATGCGATAGCTGGGGAGTTGGATCGACTGTTGGAAAGCTTCATTGACTCGTTGAATTTCACCGGACAGGCTTTGTCCAGAATCAATATTGGTCCGGAGGTGAAAGAGGAGGTCAAACCAGAGGCTGAGTAGGTGGTTAGTCTGTGGTTGGTTTCAAGAAGGACATACCGCACTGGTGGCGTCTTATGGTTTTGACTGGTAAAAGCACTTGTCGTTGAGGGCTATTTGTGCATATTTCGGTGTTTCGTGCTGAATGATAGAGATTTGGGCAGGCTGATGTAAATTGAAATTCTGCAGTCATAATGAAACCATATTATGTGATGTATGCTGTCAATTTGAGATAGCCTGTCGTAATGAGTATTCACTACTCACTGCCGAGTGCCTGACCCGACTCTCGTATAGAAACCCACTACAACAATATGGAACCAACAAACATTGCAATCGCGATCAATGTCTAGAGAAATACTGTATAGTCCCGACCCTCGTGGCTCGACACGAAACGAAACCCCGTCACGTCTGGACGTGACGCGCGTCATGAGGTGGATGCATCTCATCGCCATTTCTATATCCGTTCTCTAACTTCAAGGCAACCAAACTTCCACATTCTCCTCCTATATATTCAAGACTCAGTATCCCCATGACCCAATTGACAATCAACAATCTTTGACCGTACATTTACACAGACATACATATATCAATAAATATGTCCACCCCATCATCTCCACCCTCAACTCCATCTTCATCTCCAACCTCCCTCCCGACAACTACAACAAGGACCAAAACAACAGGAACCGCAAACTGGCCCCTCACCTTCCGCACCATCAAGAACCTCTATACCTCCAACCACTACCGCCAATGTATCGCCCACGCAGCAGAATGTTTGTCTCTAACGGAGCAGCCGGTACAGTTATCACTATTCTATCCTATCTCTCTCCTTCTTTCCTAATGACCACTATATACGATATACTTATTATCTACGGGTATATACGCTAACAAGTTTATTCAAATGATCAACTGTGTTGTGTGGGGTATAGATATACAAAACCTATCTCACATTCTACATGGCCATTTCCTACGAAGGAATGGGTCTCGCGGCCCATCAGTTCTCCGGTCAGAAGCTGCCGCTTTTGCAGACGGCTGTAGAGTGGTTTGGGGTCTGTGGGGAGGTGTTGGGTGAGGTCCAGGATGACTGGGATGGGGGAGGAGGGATGCTGGTGTGTGAGGATGCGGATGATCCGTTTGTTGAGTATCCTCATCATTATCATGATCGTGATGAGGATGGTGGTGGTGGTGGAGAGTGGGGTGAGGACGAGGAGAGTATGTTGTTTTCGGGTGAAAGTGATAGCAGCTTCGACTATACCAACACCACTGTTTCGGCGTATAGTGAGGTATCGCTTTTCGACAGGGCTGAAGAGGATAATGGGTATGGGGATGAGCGTGGTCTTGTTCCCTCGCCGTTGAAGGTGCGGAAGGTATCCGGAGAGTCGGTTGGGAGTGGTGCTTTGGGAATCTCTGAGGTTGAGGATTATGCCATGGGTGCAGCTAAGGCAGGAGTTGGAGTGTCGGTGCCGGCTTTGCCGTTACCGTTGCCGTTGAGGATTGCAGCTCCCGCTACTCCTACGCCAGAATATACAGGTCACAAAGAGGAACTCGGTATACGAACAATGCAGCCGGTCAAAAGACCAGAATACGAAAACAAGTTGCAAATCAATACAACAATCGATTTCCTCCGTCACCAGGTCACATCAAGTATCACCACGCTGCATAAAATGATCACAGACGTGGCTGAGATGCAGTATGCACGGCGCATGTCCAAGGGGATGCGGCGGTCTGGGTCCTTCTGGAGTTTTAGTCCGGTCAAGGAAAAGCAGGTTTCTGGTGGTGATGATGATGGTGATGAAAAGGAAAAGTCTTCGTTTGGGGTAAAGGAGAGTAAAGAGCAACGAATTGCGAGATTGCGAAGGGATGGATGGCAGACGGTGGGAATACGGGGGCAGAAAAGTGGATGGAAAGGAGAGGGGTATTATCGGGAGTATTGTGAGCGAGTGTTGGATGAGTTGTATTTGGGAAGATCTTGAGGTTGATGCATGATGGCCATGATGGTTGAGGGGTACTTGGTGTGATGGTTTCTGATAGGATGTCTGTTAGCGTCGTTATACTGTGCTCTTTATGGTAATACTACAGGTGCCCAATGAATTGGTTGAGCCTCTTTCAAGATGAAGCCGCAGTCAGACAGCCTAATCAAGTAATCTATCTGGATACCCACGAGGCTAGCAAACCTGCATTCAGCCCGAGTGGAGAAGGACAGGAATCATCCGAAGAGAGCAGGCCGTCAGTCAGCCTGTCAGGGCAGACGGCGATCCAATAAACCGGCGTCAATCCGGCTAAGCATCCCAGATGAGATTTTAGGCTGCATCTCCGCGCCATCCCTCTATGGGGGCCAAAATTAATTGAGAGAAAACTTGGCGGGCATAGCCCCTTTTATACTAGGGTCCAATATGTCTCAGTTTCCAAGACTCGAAGCGGAAAATGAATGAGAATACGGTGATGAATTTGATCTTCATTATGTTTCTTCCTGTCATGGTGAGACTTTTTTTTTGTCTTCTGCTGTGGCTGGTGCCCAAGCCAAAGCCCAGAATTAATTAGCTTCAGGGACTGACTGTCGGCAATGTTTCAGCCTGGAGGAGAAGGCGTCAGCATTGGCCCGCTGGCCGATTTCAGATTTGGGGGCCCGTTTCACCCTAAGCCGCTTTTTTCTAGATTCCCTCCATTTTCAGGGCGAAAACTCTACCTGAACATAATCATCACGACTTGCATGGAAGTGAGGTTATTACTTTGGAAAGAAATAAACAGTAAACAGTTTAAGGCTATGAAGTGAACAATCTGTCAATACCAGACGGGTATCTAGACTCGAAGTTACCCTGCATTATGTAGTAATTGAACACAAGACGAATTGTGGACTAACTGCATCCATGGATCAGCCTACTAAAATGCGCTGCCTGGAGGAGCATCAGCCTTGCGTGGCCGCTCCATCATCTCCTCCACCATCCAATCCCTATAGATAGGATTTCCGCGAGATTGAGCCCCGCTGAGGGAAAACCCCCCCGTGGCTGTGCTGGGCAGCCATGAATCAATGGGTTACTGGGTTAAACTCTATCGCCGGGCCAGAACTCGACCTTTTTCTCGCTCTCGTTCCCCCTCCTTTCCAGATTTAATCGCTCGGTTCGCTATTCCTTATTTCCTTTCTTCTCTTCTGGTCAGTTTCAGCTGTCTATCAACTGGTTTAGCCTCCTTCCTTTTCCCTTCCCGACCGACACAACACCGCATTGCATTTGCCTTGCCTGTCTGTGTCTTGCACATGCAGCCATCAGCACAGCGATAAGCAGCGCCCCCCGATCAGGTACCGTGTGTTTACCCAGTTAGTTAGTCTCTTTTTTTGAACCCCCTATCGATGGATGGATGGATGGATTTACCCACCATCAATCAGCTTTCCCCCCCTCCTCCCTCCACACGGACACTGTCGTTGCTCGTGTACGGAACTTAATCCCACCAAATACTTACTTCTTCTTCCTCCCCCCAGATTTCTGTTTGTGACCTTCATCCTCCATCCCTCCAACGCGACTTTCGCGATCTTGTTTCTTGAATCGCCCCGCTACCAACCTCCCTCACGTGCGGGGTTCCCATTCAGCTTCGCGCTCGCTGGCCTCGAGCCCACCGCACACTACTCACGGATAAACTCCCCCCTTAGGGCCTTCACTAAGGCCCTTCTACTCCAGTCACCATGAGTTGTAGGTCTTTATCTTTCTTCGCTTCCCTTCTCTTTTCTCTTCGTCTCGCCGATCAGCCATTCGTTCATCCCCACGATGGCATACACTTTCGTTAGCCCAGCTTGCCATTGACAGCCATTGATTGGTTTCTGTCCTACTGCGCCCGCACGGCAGCCTCATGTCCTTCATGAATCATGTCTTTGTCTCTTATTTCCACCATCACCTGGGGCCATTGCGTCCATGCAGGTGGCATTCTCATCCTGTTCTGGCTCTTCGGTTCGATCGTCCCATCTCTGCTGGCCCTGCTTTCACTCGTCCCCCCCCCTCTCTTGTGGTTTTATCGAGCGGCTATACTAGTTCTCTTTATACCTGCAACGTCCAAGCGCTGACCAATGGGTGATTTCACAGTCCATAATATGCTCAACAAGCTGTCGGGACAGCCCGAAAGCTACGAGAAAAAGTACGATAGGACCCTTCTCGCTTCCCCTTACCTCTGCATACATATAATAACCGCTGTGCAACCCGTTCCAGGTCCCACTACAAGTTCGGACGCACACTCGGCGCTGGTACGTACGGTATCGTTCGTGAAGCCGACAGCAGCAAGGGAAAGGTCGCCATCAAGATCATCCTGAAGAAGAATGTCCGGGGCAACGAACGCATGGTCTATGATGAACTAGAGATGCTTCAGGCTCTCGACCATCCCAACATTGTTCATTTCGTCGATTGGTTCGAATCGAAGGTAGGTTGCATCTAAGCTACTCTAGACGCTCCCTGGTCTAATGTGGTGGCAGGATAAATTCTACATTGTTACACAGCTGGCCACTGGTGGTGAGCTGTTCGACCGCATTTGCGAGTATGGCAAGTTCACCGAAAAGGATGCCTCTCAGACTATTCGCCAGGTGCTGGGCGCCGTCCATTACCTGCACGAACGGAATATCGTTCATCGAGGTATGTCCAAATTATCGTCACTTGTTCGCCTTCAAGGACTTGAAGTAATTTTGGCATCCGCTTGACCTAGACCTGAAACCCGAAAACCTTCTCTACCTCGGTCCCGACCCCCATTCCCCTCTGGTCCTCGCAGATTTCGGTATTGCCAAGATGTTGGATAGCCCCAGCGAGGTTCTGACCAGCATGGCGGGCTCTTTCGGCTACGCCGCCCCCGAGGTTATGCTTAAGCAAGGTCACGGCAAGGCCGTCGACATGTGGTCCCTCGGTGTTATCACCTACACCCTGCTTTGCGGATACTCTCCCTTCCGTTCCGAGAACCTGTCCGATCTGATTGAAGAGTGCCGAAGCGGAAAGATCATCTTCCACGAGCGCTACTGGCGCGATGTTTCGCAGGACGCCAAGGACTTCATCCTCACGCTGTTGCAGCCGGATCCTGCCAAGCGTGTCACCTCCGAAGAAGCCTTGAAGCACACCTGGTTGACCGGTGAGTCGGCCAGCGACCGCGACTTGCTGCCCGAGATCCGTGCCTACATTGCTCGCTCTCGTCTGCGCAGAGGTATCGAGATCATCAAGCTGGCGAACCGCATTGAGGCGCTCAAGATGCAGGAGGATGATGAGGACATCCCTAGCCCGGTGGAAATGGCAGAGAAGGCTTCGGGCACGACGCCCTTCCCTCAACTCTCGCCCAATGGCAAATCGGATTCCGCGCCAGCTGAGGGCGAGGCTACTGGCACAAAGAAGCGCAGTCTGAGCAAGATTGCCCGCGGTGCCATCTTCCGTGAAGTTGTGCTCGCCAAGGTCCGTGAGGTGAAGGAGACCGAGGAGCGCGAGAAGGTCGAGCGTGAAGCCCGTGAGCGGACCGCCCATGCATGAGGCTTGATCGGATGGCGTTGATAGAGACTTGCTTTCTGCTGCTGCACCGGTTCCATTCTTGTTGGGTCACGGACCATCACTGAACTGTTTTCTGTGAATAACTTTCGATGATTCCCCGTCCATATACTGATCTGGCGTGTTCTTTTTGTCTGTTCCTTGGTTTGCTAAATGAGATGGGACTTTAATGGAGGCTTTGACTTAACGGAGATAATATTTCCTTTCTGTGGTCTGAATTCATATTCGGCCTAGGCATCATCTTCCACTATGCTCCCCATGTAGATGACCTGCGTCGTTGTAAATTGCCTTGCAAGCTGTAGATCCAGTCTGATCATGACCAAATCAGATGCTGGAATATCACGTGGGGACTCCCCCCAGCGTGATCGGCCCGGACCAATCAGGTGATGGGGTGCGGCCCCGTCAGCCACCGCCAGCAGATGATCGCCCGGAGATACCCTCGCGGCCCTCTTTTAAGTAACTACTTGTCCCCTCTTCTTCACCTTCCCCTCTTCGGTCTCTCTGCATTCGGATCTCTCTCGGGCATTCACCTTTACTAGATCTCTTTGCACTGTTACTCTCCAATCCTTCACTGAGCTCGCCCCGTTCAAGAACTCATCCGTCGTCTTGTCGATCGCCCCGCCCTAAGTTGTAGACGTCATACATCTGTGCGCCTCTACGATCTGACAATTCCTCTCCCGACGAGGCTGGCCGACTATCACCCACCAGATCTTCCCTGGACAATCTCCGATCAACGAAGCTGTCACTTTCGCCTCGAAGAGGCGCTCTGCCCACCATGTTCGCCGGCAAGCGCCTGAGCAAGGTAAGCCATCATGCCACTCACCACCCCGCTCACAATCTCGACCAATGCAACTAACCCAGATTTACATACAGGAGCTCTTAAAGGTACCCATTCCTTCCTGTTACCTGCAAAATTCACCCTACCAGATCGATCACAACCACGATCTACACTCCAATGCGCCACGCCTACACAGACCCCTAACACACAACTAACACAATCCCCCTCCACAGATGAAAGACCACCTTCCGCCCGGGATCACAATCGTCAAGTCCGAAAACCTCGAGGAATGGCAAATGGACATTAAAGTCCTCGATTCCAACCCGCTTTACCAGAATGAGACCTACCGGCTCAAATTCACCTTTAGCAACAAATACCCTATCGGTAATTTACCCCTCACAACCACCAGCCACATTCATTTTAACTTGTTGTACAAAGAAGAAAATGAACTAACAAGATTCATCTTATTCGTTCCAATAGAACCTCCCGAAGTCCAATTCATCGAATGCCCACCCACCTCCGACCACCCCCGTCCGATCCCCATCCACCCGCACATCTACAGCAACGGCATAATATGTCTCGATCTCCTCAGCTCGGCAGGCTGGTCGCCCGTGCAGACGGTCGAGAGCGTCTGCATGAGTATTCAGAGCATGTTGACGGCCAATTCGCGCAATGAGCGGCCTCCCGGTGATAGTGAATTTGTGTCGTATAATCGGAGGAGACCGAGGGATATCAATTTCCATTACGACGATGATAATGTATAGTTTTACTCGTGGAGGGGGGTGCTTCTAATATTTATTTGAAATTGGTCGTGGTGATGGTTGCATTAATATTGGCGCGTGATCCTTTTTCTTATTTTCTTTCTCATCTTACATATTACTCAAAGTTCTTCTTTTGTCTCACTTTCTACTTGCTTGCTTGCTTGCTTGATTCTTATCAAGGTTACGGAGTTCACTGGAATCCGGACGGAGCGTTGGTATTATGCATTTCATGCGTTTACGCATGGGTTTTTTTTTTTT